AAAGTCAGTCACACTGAAACTCTGACCAAACTCACATTTACATCACCACACAGACATAGTGGAGAGCCACCTACATATTTCAGTTTCGCAGCCAAGTCAACTTGTAATCTTGTTGCTACCAGACAGATGAGCACATAGAAAACTGTACAAACAACAATGCATATGGCCGAATGGGAAAAGAACTCTTTCTCTACATACCGATCAGTCCGTCGCTAAATTCTTGTTGTTTTTGGATCTAAATATGAGGGTGAGAAACCAAAGCGTTTGTTTACATAATTTCATGCTGCAACCCTTAAAATTCCTCTGTATACTACACAGAGTACGAATTATTAACAGAATCACATTTTCCACTTTATAATAATACAACATAAAAGAAAATAAAACACAGTTCTAGCCGGAAGAACTCTGTGAATGACTTGTTATTAATATTAGTCTTCATTTTCTTATGTTTAGGACACAGGGGGAAAATCAGTCCCAATGGGATTTTTCTTATCTTAAAATGGTTATTTTGGAATTGATTTCAAGCTAAAAGTCTGATCTCCATCCACAGGAGACCACCCACACTACCTACAGATTGGGTTTTTATGAGTCAACCAACATTATATAAAAGTGGTGTTTTTGCTACATTACAAAAAAAAATTATAATAAAAAACACAAATATCAACCCTGGTCTAAGCATTAATGAATTATCCGGGGGGTTCAATTTTGGGTAGGTCCATATACCGGCTGATACTCTGATGCCTTTTTCTAAGTCTGTTGACCTAATAAACAGCATTCAGATCTGTACTTTCTCCAACCAATGGGCAAAGGGTGACATTTTCACTTCCCTGGAACAGGGACCTGGATGCTGGATTAGCCTGAATGGGTTATAGAGTCATAAGCGGGGAGCGTTACTGACTCAAAAGCGAGGCCACGAACACATGTGCTGAGTGAACTTTAAAAGCTCTGCCATGTCCAGCCTCCAGCAAACGGCCACGACAGAGCATCAGCTCCCCAACATTCAACCAGGAGCCTGTCCATAGATTCATTTGGTCTCTGGGTCTGCGGCTTGTCATGTGCTTGAAGTCACATAACTGACTTCCAGACGCTGCTCCCAGTCCAGTCTTCAAAAGTGTCAGGGAATGTGTGTTTCTCATCTGATGTTTTGAAATTTCCTCCCTAAGGATGAATCCTTTGGACAGAAATTTTGCTGAATTCATTTTACCAACTAAACATGTAAACAACAGTACAGCAAAAAGATTTAGATTCTCTTCTTAGTTTCTGACCTCTTACAGTCCTGTATTCTGTCCTAAATCATCAATATTAAGTTTGGAATGCTATGTTTCCTATTTCTACTGAAACTTTAAATAGATACTTTAAAAAGTAAACATTTAAAAAATAAATTACTATATTCTAAACAGCTCAAACTAATTTGTTTAAACACTTTTTTAAACTGGAGTAGTTAATAAATAATATACTAGATAAAAACACCAGACAGATACGCTTTCCCAGGAAGCATCCTGTTTAAGCTGTAAATTCAGATCTTTTATAACTGTATCCTTTATTCAAGTGTATCAGTGGGTGCCGTGTAAACTATGCGTTATTTTGTATAAATAAAATGACTCAAATTGAGATTTTCTCTGTAAAACTGATACACATTGATGTTCTGTTAGTCTAAGCTTTTTTCCTTGTCAGGAAACAATGTATTTACAATGAACTTCTAAACAACTTCATGAAAAGCTTTTTTTATGAGATATCAATAAACTACAATATGTCGAATAATGTTTAAGAGAAAGCCTTTTAGTCTGGCTATTCAGATCTGAAAGGCATGAATAGGTCACTTGTGCTACTGCGGGAATCTCTTCACTGCACATCTTTAATGTCACACCTCATAACAACACCAAAGCTGCCTCCCCACCTGTTGTCATTCTGGGCCTTAGGTGGCCCTCACATACCCCTTGTCACCCCTGTCATTCAGTCCCCAACCGTGCTGTTATTTTGTACCTGTTTAACTGCAACTTATTTATTCTACTTGAATGCAAAACTTTCGCCCACAGAAGTGAGGCAAACCTGGTGCACCATTCCGCATGTTAAATCCCGTCATCACAGGCCTACTTTTGTAATGCAGCTTCTGTGTGACAACACACATTCATTGTGCTGAGAAATCAAGAATTCAATAATATTTTTCCAGTTTTTGGGAAAAAACATGTAAGAATATATCTGAGCACATCACCGCACAAAGGAAATCATTTAGGTTTTCACTAATAGGTGTTGGAGATCGAGCAATCCTGAAAATTATAGCACCTACGTAGATGTATTTGGCATAATCAATATTTGCAGAACAACGAGGGTCTTTCAGCACGCCGAAGAAATACATTATGCTCCTTCTACCATAATAAGCATAAAGAAACACCGACTTCAGCCCTGTTAATATACGGTCAGTGACAAATATTTCAGCTGTACGCGTGGGCTGACTTTCAGATTACGCTTTAAATCACGCAAAGGAGCCAGTTTGAGTTTATCCACTACGACCGATTGCAATCAAGTAAACCGCAACTGCAAGAAAAACACATGTTCAGAGCATAAAAGCGTCAGTCATACGCACGGTTTATTTATTTATTATGTTTTATTTAAGTAACCCCAGTGAATTTAGTTAAAAATGGTTTAAAATTCCCCGCCTACGGATGTGTCCACTGGGGGGGTCGTTGGTTTAAACCATCCTGAAAACAAGTGAACCTAAATCCACAACTGCTTCGTTACCTTAAGTAGCATGACACACACACACACACACACACACGCACACATACATACACACACACACACACACACGTAGCCTATGTAGGAATACAAGTGTACAAGAATACAAGGTGCCCGTTGCAAAACTGAGGATAAAACGCTGTCTTGCGCAATTTAAATAATCCTCCCATAATGAAGAATAAAATGGGTCAACTTTTAAACTGTCTCAAAATTGAACGACCAAATGTACCGCAAACCTCTGCGCAATGAGACACAGTTGACCATTTTAGAAATTAGCAAGCTCATTTTTAAATATATATTTAAAATGCCGACAGAGGCTCGTAGTGTGGGGCCTTAAGGTTTTGCTGGGAAAATATGATGGAAATTGAATGGCAGAGCCGCCTTGTTCCCCACCTGCAGAACGCGCAAGCTCACAACACTGCAGCTTTTTAATTTATTACACCGCACGCAAGCCGACATATAGCTAGGGGAAAAATTAAGAAATACACCCGATTCGTTTAAATTTAGCCAGTACTGCACCGTTCATTTGCAAACATATGCATCGTACAATATAAATAATTGCATTGCACAGGAAGACATCACTACCTCGTTACTGGGTGCGTTATGGCTACATTTTATTACATGTGAAGAAAAGCTGAGGATTAGCTTACCTCCAGTGTTCGAATTTCCTTTTGTGTCAAGTCGTTGGATGTGGCACATTTGGTCCTTAAACCTTCCAAACTGGATATGCTAATGTCTATCATATTTTGCACCAGCTCACACTGCTCCAGCGCTTTTTGCAAACTCAGATGCTGCTCCTCGCTTTTTGTCATATTCTCCTCGTCCATAGTTTGCGAGCAGTGGTCGTTTGTATCTCACTTTCCCGAATTTGATCCTAAAGTACCGTTCAAATGAATCGCCGATCAGATGGAAACAAGTTGGTAAACGCAAAGTAGCTGGATTTATCAATTATTTAAATGTGTTTTAAAAAAGGTTTTTTTTTCCCTATTTGGAAGGCGACTCCATTGTAAACGTCCTTTTTTGTATTCCCTGACGGAGTGTTTTCATAAGGGTAGTTCAGGTGGTACTGAAGCTGAGAGCTGAGCTAACAGCAAGATACACAATTTCGAGAGAAATAAAATTTGACCACAGCGCTTGCCTCTCCTGGATCCATTGCGTGGCTCAGAGTCAAGATAAATAAAATAATAATAAAAAAAATGTTTAACACATCACTGCACAATGAATAAACACTAAACGGCAAACATAACCGTTTTTGTTTGTTTGTTTCTTTTTTTTGTTTTTGTTTCTTTTTTAAAGGTGGCGTGTACATTGGGTGTAGGTACTCCCCGTCTCCCGAGCCATCAGCCGCATCCCGGCGCTCTCCCTCCGCACCGACATGTTCCCTGTCAATCAAACGAGCGGCTTTCGCAGCATCAGCGGCGCCGTCGGACGGGCCAGTCCGAAATCTCGCGAGATGTGTTCACCCTCCGA